ACTCAATCTCATAACGATGAAAGTTATACTCGTTCTTAATTTTTGCAAACAGTCTACCAAAGATTATTTTATACGTAAAATATTCTTAAAAATTTTAGAAAGTTACTAGTTCTTACACAAAGTAATTTGAATGCTATCGACCGAGCTCAAATTATTCCAATTGTTTTCACAGATTCAGTAGAGTGAATGCAACCATTTAAATCTGAGGCATTACATTTAGTAACGCACTGGTGAAAAAGCCGGTTCACGTAAAACTTTCGATACGCAGAGGCACAGTGAAATTATCATACACCTCAGAATTACCACAACCCTTTCAACTATGTGAAAAAAATTATTTCCCTATTACTGGAAAAATTAATAAACGGAAAAAAAGTAGATAACTATATAACAGTAACCATTCTACATGACGGCTGATGAACATTGTTGCAATGAATGTCATTCCAATCTAGAGCTGAACTTCGATATTTTAACAAGGGATGTGCTATCTCAATATTCAAATTCTTCAGTGACCTAATAGGATCTTATTAACAGGGTAGTTTATGCTCATTCTCTTTTTATTCGTTTAATAAAGATTTATAGATGTATTGGTTGTCCTTGTGAGTTTTCAGTTGAAATGTTTGGTAGTATAGTTCATTTCCTATCATACTGGAAAAATGTATACAATTATGCGTATAAGACGTTATTTGTTAGGGAATATTTTAACTGTATAGTTTCAAAATGTCTCACATGAATGCAACTAATTCGATGTATATATTACGGAATAAAAATAGCTCTACCTATTAATCTGTTATACATTTAAACCAAAGTTTGTAGATTTTCAACGGTTACTTTCAATAATTAGATGAAGACAAGTCACTCTAGGCTTATACGGTTATTTATTAGATGAGTTAAATGTTCCCTTATGAAAAAGAAAAAAAGAATCACCACAAAATGGAAATTACCGTTTCTAATCGATGAACGCGATTCGTAACCAGATAAAACTTTCGCAACATAATAAGGAATAAGATAATGCTTTTGTGAATGATTCAATTCCTTACAATTAGATATGCACTGAGGTACAAGAACAAAATCTCCTGAATCAACAGGGTGACGATGAAAATCCAAATATGATAGTAGTTCATGTACATGAGTTTCTTGAATATTTTCACGATGTTTTATTTTTGAATTAGGGTCTTCAAAGCAGATAATAAACGTGCAGTAATCTACCTATAAATTGTATAAAAGCAATTAGTTTGAGGAAATTATGAGAACCTACTGAGAATATCAGTATACAAGATATTTACTATCAGTTTGTCGTTTAGTTTATTTTAACATGTCAATGAATCGCAGTCATGAAAAATTATTCTACAGCGGTAGTGATTCGACTTCCTCAGTGTTGTGCATGAAAGACGTCCCTTTTCAGTTACTTCTGTTTGGTTAGCCGAGTAGTATCAAAAGCATTCACACGAACTTTTTTCTTAAAGCTAAGCTCATAAATGTGTACTTGACAAATAAATTACTATTACCACTATCCTTAATATTGCAATGTTTGGTATCTGGTGTTGAGTAACTTAAAATGAAAAATTAAGATTTGGTGAACTTAACATGATGCTATTCATTAAAGACTAGGAATTCGAAATGCAAAGTCTAAACAATGGATATCAAACCACACGCAAGAATTTACCTGTGAAAGTACAGTACCCATAAATAACCGACTACCCTCGTTATACTTTGGAGCCAAAACAGTATGACCCAGAAGTAAAGCACCAGCTGAAGGAGCTATTCGAATATCATCAGCCCACCAATCAAGTTGTGAGCGACCATTTATGAAAGATCTATCATGAACGATAAAAATCACTGTATTACTGAAATATAATATTTCATATAAAATAAAACTAGGACGAACAACCTTGTTACCAGCCTATCTCAGGGCAGACTCTCTGGAGTTGTTCTTCAGCTTAAAATTTTAATATTCGAAAGTTTTAAAAGTGTAAATAGTGTTACTTGAAAACTAATTAAATTTTTTTTAAACTGTCAAAATATTGAACATTTAAAGAGAATGAAATTCTTTTACGTATCATTTATATCAATTAGTAACGTTAGTCAGACGATCATTGAAAATTAAGGGCAATCAGACATCCGTTTCTTCTTGGAATGGGTCCCTGAAGCTTTACGCACCTAGTATTTTATCCAGGATCAAACTCAAGGTATTCATACCTCGTGACGAGTGCACAATATTTTAACTACTTAGTCGTGATTTAATGTTTTGCGTTTCTAACTACCAATGGCTGACAATATTTACAAACATTGATTGCTTGACGCCCAACATGCTTGAATCACATTGATCACGGGACGCTTCATTTGAATTTAGTCCCTAGTAAGTACATAATCGTATTTTAGTATGCAAGGTTGTTGAGATTTTTGAACTTTGTATTCTCATATCTACCTGTGATAACACAGTTAAGCTGCTTAGAGTGAAAAAGAACACAACAAATAATATAGTTAGTTCGGCGAATATAAAGTCATCAAAGCATGATAATATATATTACATTAAATACTTGTTACAAACTGCAACTGTAAAAGAAAAGTGTATTCACCTAGCGACACGATATCTGCTTCGTTTGAATTTATTACCAGCATGTTCCTCTGAACATTCATATGCAAGACACGAATTGCACATACAGTTATGATTATGACCTTCACCATACATTGTATGGGATGAAGAGGTAATAAACTGGTTTGAATCTGTTGTAGTTACTTCTTCTGACGTGCCAGAAATTGTCTGAGTTTGGCAGTCATTCATTTCAAGCAATTTACTTCTTTGAACTTGCTGTTCATTAATCTTAGGGAGGTGAATGGAACTGTCTGTTAATAGTTTTTCACTTGAAGGGTTCGAAACTTGACAAGCACTATCTTTAAGCAATAAATAAATGTAAAAAGAATTTGTTTTAAGCAGAAGTGTGCATTCCTTAATACATATCTTCTAAAAAGAACTGGGGCTTTCGCTTATCTTGTTTCTGTTTGTTTTGGCTAAAAGGGTAGTAATAGAAAAATATGATCAAGTACACTTGACCACTGATAAAAGTCTTCAAATCTTTTGATAACATAATGAATGTGGATCAGATACCAAAGAAACAAATAACTAAAAATAACATCTATGTCGCCGATATCAATTTCAAGCCATTTTTATGTAGATTTGTGGGTTAGCACAGTTGGAGAGTTCTAAAATAAGAGGAAACACTGTTCAAGTGCATGTTGATTTCAATAATTCTTCAACTAATATCACTTTTAATAATCGACGGGAACAGCGGCGGAAGATAAATTTAAGTTATGGGGTTTTCTGAGCAAATATTCCGATCTATCAATATTTTTATTTCAATAAACCACAGCACCGTGGAACTGTTAAATTTTACTCAAAACTCTCTTCATTTCTTGTTTATAACATTTCGTCTTTCTTTCTCCATCAAGACACCAGTGAAGGTACTCACATACATAATTCTAATGTTATTTCAGTGTATAAACGGTTTATTTTATAAAGTGAATCGGTCTTGTATGCTAAAAATGAAAGAAATCAAATATAACTGAAGAAAAGAGTGTTATTTTATGCTACGAGAGTAGTTGGCATCCGAAGTCGTTTAATCGATTTCCTTAAACTTGGTTAATTATCCCTCAACTAATACAAAAAGAGTTGTAAAAGATTAGATGATGGATTATCGAGTAGAACAGTTTCGCTAAAATGAACAATCGTACTCAAAGTCCTTTGAAGTTAAAAAATAGAACAGGATATAAAATTTCATTCTAGCGAACTTTTTTAACTGATTAACAAAGTTACATTCATGAAATCTCATTTGATCTTACAATAAACATCATACTATCAAGTAATATGATTTCACTTCATTAGAAATAAGGCTTGAAACCAATTCTGATATAATTGAGTATTTTTGCTAGGTAATATATCTTTCATAGTTAACTCCTATAAATTACTTGTTTTCCTTTTGTTAGCAAGGACAACTTCATATATACATAGGCAAGTTTATCACAATAAAATATTAGCAATTTATAACCTAAATATGCATGCTGAAATAGTAGTTTAAACCAGAAAGTTCTAAATTTTATATATGACAATGCGGAAAATAAATACCAGCTGTTAAGTAATCATGTTACACATCTAAAAACCAATGTAGAACGGTAAAAATCCTTGAAAATGGGCATTTATTTAATAAATAACAACCTTTAAAGAAATTTACGTTATATTTACGAAGACAGTGTAATAATTAACTATGACAACAAGTTATCGGTATAAATCAGTTACTCTGGGAAACGTAAATAGTTATGACCTAAGAGTCATATTCAGTTAAAAAGATACTATTTTATGACTTTTGATGAATAAGATAGACTAAAAATTTATTAAGGTCAGTGAGAAAGATTGGATCACATAATATTAGAAAATTCAAATTTATCGTTGACAATCATATTAAATTGTGAATGGGTACAGCTGAGATTTCCCAAACTAGGGGTTATGTCTGCCTGGGTTTTCTTTTGTCTTCTTAAACTGATACTACCCATGACAAAAGCCATCCTTATTTCTATTAAAATCAAATAAGATTATCACCTTAATTAACCTTAAGATTTTGGCATGGACAAGGCTTTAAAGATGAGTGTTGACAGATATCTAAACGCTTAATACTTCATGTTACTTTGCCCAACAGGTTTTTACTGCTTTGTTTTGATAAGATTGAATCATATATAATAGATGGACCGATCGGTTAGTCAAAGCATAACAGAAATTATTTGCGTTTTTTGTCTTTTTCGAAATAACTATTTATTTTTAATACTGTTGTTTCTAGTAACGTTAATTTAACTCTTTTTGGTATTATATCTCTTAGTGTATAAAAGTACGTTAACTACGGAACTATTTCATAAAGTATTGTAGTCGATGAGGATAACTCCATGCTAAACTATCACTTGTATGTCCTTTCCTGAGTCACTGAATGTGGACAACAGCATTTCTTTGTTTAATCAGTTATCTTGTTTCAATATTGACTGTGATAACTGGTTTGGTTAACATAACTTCCTAAATATTCATACAGTGATCTGTTTATTTATTTATTTACCTGCAAATACTCTGACAAGTTTGCGATTACTAGCCAGGATTACAGATTTCATCCCCACCATAACCGAGGACGACATACGTAGTTACCGGCCATCAAATATAAATTGCATATCTGTAGATACATTTCTTCACACGATGCCGCTTAAACACAAACATTCAAAATATATTCAACATCTTACTGCATTGCTGTGTTTGTGGCGTTGTATTAAACAATACTTATACTTGATTATTTTCTTGAAGAAGCTCGGACGAGACTGACGAATCAAATTTTGAAATGATTCGATTCAATCACCAAGATTTAGATAGATTTATTTTTTTGAATTGATATACATTTATGGAGAATGCTTGAAGTGTACGAATAGATGCAATTGCCAAAAACCAGGAATACTAACTTTTAAAAACTATTTTCTTGCTGAACCTTAAAATTCCTGTGTTAACGATATCGCCCTTTCACTAACATGAAACAATTATAAATAAAATGGCTTGAAACTCGACTTTTAACTACGTTGAATCTACATACACGATCAGGTAAATGTGTAAAATGGAGCCGTAGAATGACAGAACCGGAGCAGTTTCGCTATACATTGATAAATGAGAATTTCCACAAGCTAATAGGACACGCTTTATCCATGACTGGTTCATGGGCAAAATAACTGATAAATGTTGTCAAGTGCTTTATCCATAGTTTTCTTATTAAAAATAGTTTTTAACGTTATGTCGATTACATGGATGACTACAGATCCAGACACATAGATACACTTCCCTTTTATGTGACTGCTTTTCTAAGCGAGCAACATTTATAACATGTTTATTTCAGTATTCGTGTTATATACTTCCCCCTTACCGATCGTTATTTTCTACAGAACCCTATGGTCCCCAATATGATTATGAATTGAAGACTTTTAGAAGCTTATCGTATTTTTTAGGTGATTACTGAATTTAGTTGTTTTCTAGAGTACTAATCGGTAATACGTGTTAAATGCACAGTGTCACTTCGGAATATCAAAGTATTGTCAACTTTTGAGAATATCTGAATTAATATGAAAACTTTTCATTAGAACTACGGGTCAAGCTGAATAATGTTGTAGAATAAGTATTCATTGTGATTTTATTTTCATCAAAGAAACTCTCGTGAAGGTAGTGCATTTATACTGAAGAACCATGGACGAACAAACGCCACTTCAAAAATTATTAGGATGTAAATAGATTTTCCTTGTATGAATGAAGTTTCTAGATTATGATCATACCATGTCTTTGATTTCAGTGGTTTTTTGAAATCAAAATGGAATGATTATTTATCAAACCTTGTCCGTATTTTTTCAAAAATGTGAGTGAAACTGAGGTGAAGGAATACTTTTTGTCACAAGTCTTTTAATGCTCTGAATTAAAGATCCAATGGGTCGTTAGTTATCAGGATATGTTTATCGAACATGTACCTAATCTACATTTACTTATAACAGTAAGTTTAGTGTATTTGTGAGATCACGCCACAGTCAACGATCTCCAAACAGTAGCTCATATATATGGATTATTATAAGGAATTTTATCCTCATGTGCTTAGAGGTTCAAGTACGCTATATCATCATTTCAGTAAAAATTATATACAAACATCATTCAGAAACTCTGCTATCTACTTACTGTTTCGTCGGTCGTTTATTAACTACAATATTGAGCTTACTTGCTAATTATAGATGTACAAAACTGAGTGACTGCAGGGTAATCATTTTTATTATGTCAGAAATGTACATAAAGGGGTTTGTTCAATTAGACAATCACATAGTACATAATCTGTTCAAGTTAATAAACTACTAACTAGCTAAACAGTAAATATTCAATTTCGCATAAATGAAAACCCTGATTCAGTTGATGGACAAGTGATTATAACAAAAATAAGACTGAATTAGGATGGTTAAGAAATTCGTTGTACCGGGAAATATTTGCCTTTAAAGCTTTTTAGAAGGATCTGAAATCAATTACACACATCAGTACAAACTTATGACAAATAAACCTACCTACATTTAGCATCATTATTAAATCTGATAAACGAGACGTACCACTGGTTAAAACAGTTTTGTAACACACAAAATAAATTTATAAACTCCAAAGAGACACTATACATTGTACAAGAGATCCATTTTAAGCTCCTAGAGCCTGAAAGACATCAATTTTTGTTAACATCTATAAATTATTGAAAGTTGTTAACCACACCTATTTAAATTCGTTACACAATTTAGGTAGTCTTAGCTTGACATCAAACAGAGAACACTTCTAACGAGATAATATCGGGAGATATCGGACCAAAATATTGCATCAATTATTGAATGCTATTCTACGCTGATTAGTGATGCAACGTTACACTGAAATAACCACGATTAGTTGATAATGACTAGCAAGTGATAAGAATCGGGATGGAATGGAATTTTGTTGATGTGTTTATTACCTATCTCTGTCTGGATCATAAACATTATCATCATATACTTCTTGTTCCCTTCCGTTTCTTTTTCTTTCTTATTTTATTTCCTACTAATGGGAATACTTTTACTACTAGTGGTTCCCTCCAGTTCTTTTAAACTCTTTTCGCTGTACTTGTGTGAACTGTACCAGCATAGACTTATACGCTAATTATCCACGTGCTACTTAGTTCGTGTCTGATTATCTGTAGGTCTAGAAAAATACTGTCAATGTCAGAAAAGTGCAAAAACAGTTGCACATTGTGATTTGTGGTGGTTGTTAGATTTCAATTAAGCCATGAACTGATCTAAATTAGGCCACTAGGTAAATTTACTCAGAGATTTCATGCATTCCCGAATACTATGAGGCTAATAATTTGTTCAGAAGTACGAAAACAATGAAGGTTTGACTAGCTTGTTGTTAGTCTTAAATTTCAACCTGCTTTAAGTGTATGTTTCTACAAGTGGAAACATAAATTGTATTACCGTGTCCCGTAATTATCGTTTCCATATATTGCATGAGTTACTCCTACTACAGTTTTAAAAAGTACGGGCGAAAAAAACTGATTTCCGATTAGATAATTGCGTCTATGAGTAAAATTTAGGCCCAGTTGCGAATGTAACCACAAATACTATATTATGTATTATGATCACAACATACCAGTGTTTACAAAAATCTTTTTTCAAAATCTCTTCATCAAATACAGAACATATGAATTATTTTACAGCCACTGACCAGTGGTAGAACTCAGTCATTTATATGCCGCTGACTACACTAAATCGAATATATATCACTAACGTTTTAGAGTTTAAATCATTTTTGTAGATTGTAAATAATGTGTAGAGCTTTACTTTTATCAATAAAATAACGATAACTTCCTTAGGTCAGTACTTGTTTAGAATGAACTGAGCAATCACTACTTTTTGTGTATAAGATGCTAAACCTAAGACAGAAATTTCATAATTCTGATCAGAGCTTTGCAATAATGGGGAATCTTAACATTATCAGCTAATAGCAAAGCTTCGGAAAAGTTTATGACGCATCTGACACAAAATTTAGCTTTAGAATTCGTCTTAGAGACGTTGTATAGCAGGATTCAAATCTTACCTTTCATGGCTTCTTGAGATGTCAAATTATGTGTCTGTGCATTTTTAACAGGACATATTCCACCTGTGATTTCGTTTGGAAATTTGTGTAGACTGTCAAGCACAAACTTATAGCACGAATTCGGGCATCCGTAAAGTTTTGAAGGAACTCTGATACTCCATTCAATTGGTGAAAGCTGGACAAAACATCCACTAACAGCAATTGTAATAACATTCAGTCTGCTCTTCGAACAACACGTCATCATCAATAATTTAGAAGCCAGTTCAATAACTCTGTTATTTGGATTTATATTATTCATTAAAAGGGTTAAATAGAGGGGACGTGAGTTGCAAACTGTGGATAATTGTTGTATCTCATAAAACTCCTGCAGGTAAAATTGTGTAAAAAACATCAATTATACAGTACCTACCTTAGTCAGTAAACCGTCTGTGACTAGTAATACACATTCTGCATCCACATGCGAGTAAGACGCCAATAACGCAGGAAAGACATAACAGCTAGTCCCAAAACATACACTTCTTAACCACCTATTTAACTCCTGTATATTTATGTAAGAAGCTACTACCAGCTTCGTTCGGAAGCGCTTGACCTATTCACAAATATGTTCATGAGCAAAGAGAGCTTACATAGTCATCGAATGTTATAACATTGAAATACAAGGCTTTGTTGTTTATAGCCATCTTGCACAAATGTTCGACAATATGAGAGCAAATCTGATCCCACACTTTGTAAATACTTCCAGAAGTGTCAATACAAAAAACAATACGAGATTCTCTCACATCACCGAAAATGGTTTTGCGTGTTGATATCCGTGCACAGTGATTTGCAGAACCACATAATCTTGATATTCGCATGCTATTTCATGTAACGCTTAGTATTCCGTAGGTTCCCGTTTAGTCCGGAGGTAACCTATGTTCTGGGGAAGTGTTAGACGCAGTATGTGAGAATCTGAAAGAGAAAAGAACGAGAAAATAAGTGAGCCGATTACTTAGTAAGCACATAAAACGAAATTACAATCAGTAATAGTTGTTATCGATGAAAATCGAAGATGCCCCAAGCGTAAGATTAAGATAATCTGATTAATGAAATTAAAAGTTGGTAGTGTAGGATTTTGAACGCGATACATTCAGGCAATTCAAATCCTCTCATAACTCGCAGCTAAAGCAACATAAAGATAAACAATTGTCATAATAATTAATCGTGGAGATTAATTTCAACCAAAAAGCTTAACACTGTTAGATACGTAATACACTGTCAAAATAATGCATTATGGACAGGGAAAAAGCAGTCATTTTAGCGTGCCTCCCTCGTCTCATAATTTATGCATTTACAAGAGGAAGGATGTAAACCATCCTCCCCCATATCCTTTTATTTCATATCGTCTCCAGCTAAGAGTGGTTTATTGAGTAAAAACAGTCTCACGACGATAAGAATTAGACCTGACAGACGTCGCTTTTTAAGTGAGTCGTTTTGTAACCTTGGCACTTCTCACACTAGAAGTTACAACCAAGTATATAACATTTCATTTTGTTCTAAACTGAGCAGACTGAACGAAAACTAAAGGAATCACTCGTTATACAAACATACGGTTAAGTAACTGACTATAGGACTAATGATTCAGGACCAATATTATTGTTATGCGGCTACGCTGGTAAGGTTTTAAAACCGAGCTTTTACATGAAACTATACTGAACCCTCTGTTGTATCTCACATTCATCTAAGACCTCTCAGAAAACTTCAGTTCAATAACAATTAACTATCCACACGATATTAAACTTCGAAGAGCCGTCAGATGTGAAACGGATTTACAAGTGCCCCCAAATGACCTCATATTCCCGGACGAACAGACGCAAAATAATGGTTTGAAACTCAGTAATCAAAAATGTTGAAAAACACCTTTCCTAGATGAGGGAAAGCGTCAGGCTGATTAGTTTATATTTCGAATAACAAAACGGAACATTAGCGATAACTACTATGTAAGTGCAGCTGCTCCTCGCTCTGCCAAAGAGCAACTAGCTACGGTAATTCTTGAGCCCGTTCAGATGTAGTTCAAGACCTACATATGCCGACAAATGGAAAATCACAAAACCATGTTATTCTAAGAGGTGCTGCACTTCCGAATCATTTTCTAAACTGGTTAGAATGTTAAGTCTCGTAAACATTATCTGTAGAAGCAACAGGTCATCTGAAGCTGTACGTTTCGCGTCTGCCCAGAGGGTACATTGTGTAGTATTGGAGCATTCAGAGAGGCTTGAGCGAATAGAGCTGAAAAAGTGAAAAACGAACGAACAGGCGAGTCGAAAACTCATCAAGCGCACACGGTTCATTACCGTTGAACATAGGCACGGAGGACAATAACCAGCAGTAACAAAAGCTTTAGGTCGGGGTAATCTGGAAGTCCATAATAGAGACAGATAGTCTAACTCGCTATAGCAACTGACTTTACAGATGCGGATTCAAACCTAAAATCGCCCGTTTTATTCTGGTTTGTTCTCTGAGGGTCGTTGGCCTGGTATAGTCTTACACGGTCAATGAATTTTAGAGTTACAGATTGTTAAGGTAAGGAGTACTGCAGTTGAAGTAATGGTTTTTATTAGAAGTTAGAGACATGAAGCAGTAACGTTAGGAACCAGGTTTCGTGAGATTTGATGTTCGATTTTGATGTTGTAGTCTCACGGTTAAGAGCTGCGTCCGAGTGAATTTAGAGTTAATAGTTACGTTTCAAAAGATGTGAGGCTAGGTATTAGAATCTGTCGAGATTACAGATACTTAGTCAGATTTGCATATGTTTAGTACATGTAAGTTCATGGTTGATATTCAACCTCTCAATCTTCCGTGTTTCAATCATTTTGAGCTCTTGCCCGAAAGTTGCTTCCTGATTGGTAAATCCAAAGTCTACCAGATCCGCTGAAGTTCGCTGGTATGGTGATCTTTTCAGTCGGCAATCAGTAAAAGTGATCCGTTTCAACAAGTATTTAATGGACAACAAATCCCTATTTAAATGGTTCAAATGTTTGTGGACGGAACAGAGGAAGCTTTCGCTTAACAGGCTACCGTGTCTAGTAGCTGTGGATCACCAATACCTCCAGGCAGTAACCTAGGTTTATTAACGATAATAGAGGAAAAACAAATTGGTAAATCGGTAAGATATTATCCTTAGCCCTTAAGAATAGGTCACGTTACCTCTTAAAGGACTCCTGGGAAGTCGCTTGGACTAGCTCAGCCGGCAGCGAATTCCATCAACTGACAACTCTTAAGGAGTAGAAGTTGTGTCTGCAGTGGCATGCACGCAGTCCGTCCTGCCGTGTTGTGTCTCCAGTTCCTGAATACTGTCCCTTAGATTTGTGTTGGAGCTAAACATAAGTAGGTGCTTAAGGAGATATCCAGAAGTTTCAAGGATGCTGTAAGCCATTAAAAGGTCACCTCTAAGACGCCTATACCCTAATGAGTAAAGGTTTAGTGACTGTGGGTGCTCTTCATAAGGCTTGAATTGGAGTCCTTGAACTGGTTTCGTGGCTCGCCGTTGGATACGCTCCAGAATGAGGGAGGAAATACTATGTTTCCGTATTCTAAGTGGGAACCAACAAAACTTTTGAAGATTATGTGGACAGATCTACCGTCAAGCTGGCCAAAAATGCGCTTCATTGTTACCAGTGCAAGGTATGATCGAAAGGAATTGTTGTCACAATTAGCGTAAGACTTCAAATTGTAGGGTATCAGCATTCTTAAATCTTTTTCAACTTGATACACTTCTAGAGGGGAGTTTCCTTAGTTGTGACTGTAGTCTGCAACATGTAATCGGTACTAAAAATATTTATTCCCCAGTGAGATGCAAAATGCTAACCATTGTTGTCAGTGTTCTATCCGGACGATGAATCGTTGAATGGTAACTGCTAGGATCTATTTATGGATTTTATCATATATATTATCATTTCATGATTATTAAGTAGTTAGTTTTTGTGAGTTTATATTCCTTTTATTATAAGTTTCCATCTAATCTCTTGACTACAATATTCTTACGTTCTTCCCAACTTATTGGTTACATTCACTCACACAGCCACTTTTGTCTGATCTTGTATAATTGATATTTCCTATTTTATGGTGCGATGAGGTCTGATTTCCTTGTACATAAATTGCGTATGTTCGAAACACGTGATTCCTACAGTAGAAACTGTGTTCTGGACTCAAACAGGCAGGTATATATAGAAGGATCAATCAGGACTCAGCGTTAAATCTAGACTCCTCGCACAAGTTAACGCATCATTGGTTCAATTCAGTGCCAATTTTATTGGGTCGTGTTTTAATCGGCAATTTATTCACGTGATAATTAAGAGTTCCAAAAGGCGCAAAAGTCAGTTGTGGTCAAACGAAACTCCATGGCTCCATTGAGGGATTTTACTTAAAGTAAACATTCTAAACTGTCGTTTGTCATCATACTACCAATATAAATCAAGGTTTCAGGCTTCCGTGTCATTCATGACACCAGATTTATTTTAATTCAAGTACATCAAGTAGGTTGACTGCTAACTGCGGATTAAAAATAATTGTAAAGTGTTAGCGGGACATAGATTAGATTAAAGCATATTCTGTGCACAATTGTATTGGTGCACGCCGATTGGCTAGTTCTTATCCAATCAGCTTCAGTTGATACTCTGAGAAGACTCTAGAATCTTCTCATGTAAAAACTATAAATATACTAACGTTTCACTTATTGTGCTTCTGTGGTCTTTGAATGAACTAATGACTCCTTTGTACTTGTTGAATGCCAAACACAGTACATTCGTTCGAGCTTATCTAGTACTTCTTGATCCGATTACATTATTTCTGGGATTCTTAGTTCGTGCTATAGTCCAAATGCTTCTAATCATTACATCGGCGTCTCGACTGAGCCTGCGATGGAATTGTTGAATATACATTCAGATTTTGATGCTTTTGAGGATTACTTCGAAGGGTTCGAAATCTGGGTTATGGCCAAGGGAGATGATGAGGATGTTAATATTGTAGCACATTTCCTCACATTCATCGGAAAAGAAGCATATAGCTTATTAAAATCTCTGGCTATGCCGGAAAAGCCCATTTCACTTCCTTATACAATCCTCAAGGATCTACCGCTAAGCTGTATTAACTATACAATTTTCGAATGTGGTGAAAGAGCAAGATTTCGCACAATGATTCATGAGGATTTAAAAAATTCCACAACATTACGTTATCCCAACCCAGTGCATATTCAAGGTTATGCAGATAATTCATTGAGGAGTTGCGATGCAGTTCAAGAAGATGGGCACAAGTTTGCTCAATGTGTGTCCTGTGGCAATTTCCGCTCTTTTAATTCATGTAAATATCGTAATTCCAAGTACGTTAAATGTGGTGATATTGGACATATTCATTCAGTTTGTAATACTACTGTTCATCTTGCTGCAACTAATATTAAGTCTTGTAATTATGATTCTATTAAGTCCAGTGTTCCTAATGATCATTTATCTTGATCAACGGTTTCAAAAGACAGTGTAGAGTCATATAGCAGTTCAGAGTTAAGTGAAACTCATGTTTGCGAGACAACAGTTTCAAATCAATTACTGTTATTATTATTACTGTTATTAATATCATTATTGTTCCCCCGACACATTAGATATTCCTTTTATATCTTCTTATCCTTCCTAACATATTTAATTCCTGACTGTCCTTTGAAATCAATTGTGACTTTCATAGCATCATTCTTAATTATTACTGCACAAATATTTATACTAATATCCGGTTTCACTCTGTATACTATTACATAAATCTAAATGTATTCATCCGAGTCCATTAAAGGATTTTTATTTTATTTTTCTAAACTGTTGGTTTCCTTCTGAGGTTGATATTCATTATTCAATTATTATTCTTATCATGGATGAAACTTTCCACTAGGTGTTCACTTCTTTTCTCTCTTCTTTCCCTCTAAATAAATATTCCTAAGATTACGAAGTTTGTAATTAAGACAATAACTTGTGTTACACTTAAATTAACTTCTCAGACTCGTTTTATCTTCATTATCCATATATGACTCATACATATTGATACTTCATTATCCTTTTTACTCAATTAAGACTTTCATCGCATCACTCCAAACTATGACTGCACAAACATTTATTCTAGCGTCAT